AGTTTGAATGATTGTTTTTTTTTCACAATGACAATTTGCCACTTATACTATTAATTTTGTACTAATACTCATATGTAAGACAACTATTCTGCCAAGAGTTTTAGTCTTGTTGATTAATAAAACCTAAGAAATGTGTATTTTCTAGCATTTACCGTCAAAAAATCCTTCATTTTGCTTAATTCACATGCACATAACTCTGCTTAGGAAAATGCTAGAACCAAAATTTAAACTTTGGGTTAATGCCCAACTTCTATACTTAATGTGTGCCAAATTTCAAATGTCTGTGACAATATTAAGGGGATGAAAAATGATGGGGGCAACTTTTGTCTCATTTTTGAAAATGGCGCCTGAAAAAAAGAACAAACATGGTGTTACTAAAACTTGAATAACTTTTGATCTAAATGAGATAGATTAAAAATTTAAATTGATTATTCATACTCAAATGTGTGGCTATCTGTGCACCAAATTTCAAGTCTCTAGCTCACTTAGAAAAATATCATGTGTGCACCCTACAGTCATAGAAGCATTTAATTGGACACCTTTGACATTGAACTTTTGTAGCACTTTAAAAACAAATAAACTTTCTTCATTACAATTTACAATTATCGAGATGATTTTTTTGAAGATTTCCGTGATTGTGGATATTAAAAGATCAATTCCTCGTCTAATTAAAACTGGGGTTTCAGTAACTTTTTTTGGTTTCTGGAATATGCAAGCCCCCAAAACGACACATTTACATTGTAAAGGTAAGGGTCAAAGGAATTTGTTTGAATCACCCCACTTGCTAGCTGTGCGATTTGTCAACCAGCTATTGGCTGTTTCGAGACAGAGTTAAAAGCGGGTCAAACTATTCAAATGCTAATTAATCTAAGCACTCCACATATCAATAGTGGGCTGCCTAATATGCACTCGGAGCCTGCCTACTTGTTTACAATGCAATTGGGGAAAAAGTTAATGCGCTATGTGGTGATAGCAAGGTCTAAATAACGTTTTTTAACATCATTATTTATTGTTAATATTCATATACTATTTAGCTATTTTTGTTATTGGTATCTACAGTTTAAAAGGTTTAAATTTTTATTTTATTTATTTTATTTATTTATTTATTTTGATAAAAGAAACAGAAGTTTGAGATAACAACAACATAAAGGATATCCCATAAAATAAAATTAATGATTTGGTGACTCGTCCACTCTGAACATGCAAAACAAAATCTAAATAGTTTATTATCCCTTTACATATGCCATCTTTTCAGATGGCCACAAGTAAAAGGTAAATGAAGCAATATCTTAGTAAAATTTCCTGTATGTGACATTGTTTATATTCATTTCATTTGATTATTCAACCTTGAATACTGTTAAAAGTGACCTTCTTTAAATATTATTTAAGATAAATGCTGAATGGGTAAAAGTCTAGATAAAAAACATTTTTGATTAAGCGTACCAGACTCTTTATGTATTGCCACAGAAGCTTGTAGTCCATAGGTCAAGAAACTAAACTGTAACTTCAACTCTCCAAATAAGAAATTATAACAGACAGTATAATCAGCTATGATGACGAACCATAGCAGCTTTAACAGAACAGTCAACAATGGTGTAACTTCAACACTCCGTTTAACTTCAACTCTTTAGATAGGCCAACAGACATCTGCAAGTGCCCCTCCTTTAGCTGCCAAATTAGGCATTCTCTTCTCCCTCCTTAAAACAGCATAACCATGAAAAAGGGACGAAAGCAGACAATTTTTCATCTTGGTCATAGTATTGTAGTAAAATTGTAGTCTGTGGTTTTGTACTCCCATCGTTTTGCTCTGCATGTTTTTATCCTTGTGTCCTTTCCAGGCCGTAGTGCAAACTTTTTCAGTTTTGATGCATAGGATAATTGCATGTAGTATGTGGGGAGAGAATAAAAATTAATTTAGAATCAAGATATGTCGCTCTTATTACAGGCATAATAATATTGAAGGAAACCAAGGTGTGTCAGAATGCTCACGGCAAGAAATCTTCCATCAGGTTTGTCATATGTTAAATGTTAAATGTTTTATGTTAAATGCTTATTCCTGTTTTTCACGTTTATTAGTAATATATTCCATTAAACTATTTGTTTCTGTGTACAGAATCTTGTTTTTTCTTCTTTCAGTTGGTGCATAAAAAAGTGCAGTCATGGCATTAGCAAAATGGATGAGTTTCGTCATTTTCCTTTTCTTTTTTTCTGTAAGTAACCTTGTTTCACAGTTGTGTAGCTTGGATATATTAAGTTCATTATAGCTACTTTCTTTATTAAGTCAGTGAAGCATTACAGTAACTGTTAAACAGTGAATTTTAGAAAAGTGCCAACCAACCCCGATACTACACTATACTACCCGGACCTATCCCCGTTGAATCACTTGGATGATCGGACAGAACCTGGTAACTTGACATCAACTATTTTTATGTGAAGTCATCTAATAAAAGTATATTTAATTTAAAACAGGACTGCATAAATTTTATTAAATAATTTATCAAATTTCATTTTGTATGTGAAAATGTAAAATGGAGATGGGCCTAAGACTCCAAACATATGATATCAAAATTTTATGTTAACATTTTCTGTTATCTTACAAAGATTTCAGTATGCTTGTTTATAAACATGAAGTTCTTGAAAGCCATTATTTCTCCATTTACTGTTTATTCTCATCTAAAATTTGCTAAGTTTAATCTAATCTAATGTGGACGAATTGTAACTGGCCATAGCGACACAACTGATGGTTAGGCGATGCAGTCGAACATGAAGAAAAAAGAATGCATCTTACTAATTATTTTATGGATCAAATAGTTTTCAGCTAAAAAAAGATAAAACCTCCAGTCATGATTTTTGCTTACTTTGATAATTCAACAAAATTAAAATAAAATCAAATTCAACAAAATTAAAACAATATTAAAATGAATTAAATGATAACGTAAAACATGAAAGACCCTCATGTTTGTTATTACAAAACATATTCAAATATTATGCTTATTCCTGTCTCTCCCTTTTTGCTTTTAAGGCAGTTGTTCAGACTGTTAACGCAGAAAGGAGGCGTGGCCAGGGTAGATGCAGAGGAAACAGGAAGCCCCAGCCGTGTGAGGAATTATACACAGTAGACGAAGACGGCTGCTGTCGGCCCTGCAAGTGTCGCAAGGGTCGTGGAAGACCAAGGGGGGCAAAGGTACATGTATATAAAATAAAAAATATTGCTGCCTCTTTGTATAAAACATGTTTAAATAAAAACAGGGTTCAAAGTTTTGAAATATGGAGGTAGATTAAAAATACAGTCCTTTTTTCTCTTTGCTTCTTGTCTGAATCAATATGTTATACTCCTGAAACAATGCCACACAAAAAAGTGGGTAGGCCTACTTTTGATCTTTATTTCTAACTAGAATCCATGTGCAGAAGAATGCTTTAAGTGTGAGCGCGGAAGAACATACAATGACAAGTTTGACTTCTTCTGTAAGCCATGTCAAGGATGTTATGACAATCGCATGGTAGAGCAGCAGTGTACTCGGAGGAGGAACAGAAAGTGTGGGGAGGGCTGCATTCCTGGGTAATTATCATCACATTTCACCAATTATACAAGTATGATGGCTGGTACAAGTCATCATCTAGCACAATAATGTGCTACTGGCAATACACTTTATGTTTAAATTAATGTATATACATTGCTAACATTTTTGACATATAATTATTTGTATTGTTGACTTTGAATACAAATTATATATAGCCACTATTAACACTAGATATTTAAGGCAAACTTCTTCATAATACTTTTAGAATTTTAAATGGAAGGTGCCATATTTACCTATCACATATATTTCAGGTATTACCGAAGGTTGACATACAACAAGGAACTTGAGGATAACTGTGTGCCATGCACAAAAGACAATATACACATACGTGTATGTAACTTGTACTTCAACTCACCCTTAAACAGGAGCACTACAAAGGCACCATCCAGTCTTATCAGAAACCTCCCTGACATCAATTTTAGAGAGACATATCTCAGCACTGAAAGCGATATTGAAGATGCAGCAACTTCAACAGCTGGATTCAAAACTGAAACAGCAGCCACCACATTGAAACATGCAACCACTGTTAAACCAACATCAACAGGTATGTAAAAGTTTTTTCAGAACTGGAAATATAATATTAAATTTCATTATATATACAGTGGTGGATTTAG